CGCACTATGTGTGTTGCATATGAAAATAAATATCACCAATTATAAAGTAAGAGATTAGGAACAGTTTTGGGTATTTTGGGGCTCTTGGAACACCCAACTATATCCAACTTTGACCTGATTTCCTCTCAAACTGAAAAACTGTGCCGTAAGAATCAATCAATAGACAAAAAAGGTCCATGTCTACCATTAACTAGAAATTGCTGGAAAACCAGTGTCATGTGTTCACGCTGCAGCAGGTTCTACTTTATCACAGAGAAAGGGTATTCCAACAAAGAGAGGAAACTATGCTGTAAAATCTATACATAGCGCCTGATCTTCAAAGATCCAGAATAGGGGGCGCTGAATAGTATGTGCAATAAGTGCGCTTCTTGGGGGATCTTCAAATATTCTTGCACAAATGCTAAGATGTGCAAACCAGTTTGGTTGTGCATATTAAAATGGACAGACTGTGTACTCTACAGGCTGTTTAAAAGCAGTATTAAAAGATGATGTTCTAAGCCATGAAGTTGAACGTAAAAAGATAAAAAAAATGACCTTATTATAATTATGTACATAGCCCGTCTATCCCTAATGGCTAAGAACAAAAGTAAAAACTTAAAATGATTTAAAAAAAACTAAAATTTAATATAAAAATAATTGAAATGTACTAAAAAAAAAAGATGCATAAACTGCTGCTGCAGTTGAGTTTTTATTTCTTTGGAAAATATGTCCTCAACCCATGAATTTACACTGTTGGTTCATTAGAATAAAACTGCATATTGATGAAGTAACAAAAAAAGATTAGCACATGCTGTCTGCAGAATTGCAAAGGCAAATAGGTGGTTACTTCCTTAAAGATCTGCTCCGATTGTAAAAACATGTTTGCATCTATCTTAGGACACGCAGACCTTTTGAAGATCAGGCCTTTAGAAATGTAGCTAAATTACAGGGATATCCCAATCAGATATCGGAAATTGGTCTGATATTAAAAAACTATTACAAAATATATTGGCCTGCATTTGAAATTTCGATATAAACATGCTGATAGCAACATTCCTCTTTAATCTCTTTCTGTTTAAAGTTTATGTAACCCACATGTTAATAGTACATGGTTCAATTGTTTTCATATGCAGTCTTGTTGACTGCTCTGTTTCAATAAATTCACTGATCAAACCTTTTCTATTGTTCCACACAATGAGTGATAAATGTATGTATAATTCCTGCCGATATATCTTTGTGGTAAAAAGGATGCAGAATCGTCTTAATGTGGTCCTGACTGTAAATATAAACACTTGATTCAACAGTCAACATTGCACACCCTCATTTTGTGCACCTTGCACACTTTAACACTGACCATAAATAGATGCAAGATTCTTTACACTTCTATTAGTAAAAGCTTTGGAAAACCATGTCTTAATCTCCTTTACTTTCACTATTATATGTTACTTAGTGCTGGTCTGTCTTCTAAATAAGATCACAATAGAGACATTTAGGTTATTGGATTTAACATGACAATATTTAAAGAAGTTTGAGATGTATAAAGGCTTTTCTAAAGCAGAATTTAGATTCTTTTGCCAAGAAATCAAGCAATTTAAAGTCGTAGGGAAATCATATTTAAATGTCAAATCATTCTGGCTTAAACATGTATATAAACATGTTTATCAGACAATATTGTCCCAAAAGTTAAAACATTTCTATATTAAAAAATATCCTGTCTTAAAATCCGTGTTGTTTTTTTTCGTTACCTTATGCAGGCCAGTTAGATAAACATCAGCCTGAACACCTAAATTAATCATATAATGATATATCAACAGTCTTCTGTCAATCAAATTTTTCGGTCATACCATATTCATTCATATGTCGCAGCTAATATACGCAATGGTTGAAATAATAAATCAGAATAATTTCCTTTCCCATTGAGTTCGGTCCCAGTGTTCACGGGGATGGACGTCTGTGTCTTCAGCAGGCGTAGAGCTAACAGAACTGGCAGCGTTGC